TGAGTGAAAGGGGAAAGGACAGAGGAAAAACCAGGAGAAGCCAATGGTCGTGTCTCCCAGCTCACAAAGAGCAACACGGTAAAGAACCTTGTCTTCCCTCGGAGTTCTCCTTTCCACTCACATGGAGAGCAGAACACCAGCCTCACCTGAGAGACAACTCTTGATGCCCCCCTCTCCACCACCGGCTCTTGTCTACCAGCCACCATTGCTCAGGAATGTGGCCCTCTTCACAGTTCAGACCTCCATCCCCAGAGACAACTACAACCATTCTCTCTGTTCAAAGAATTCACTCTCAAAATGCACAATGCCCTCTTTCATACCCACCAGTAAACAACTTGGAGCACACTCTGTGGACCCCACTTAGGAGCCTCTGGGAGAGAGGTCTAAGAGTGGTCAACCCAACAATCATAAACACTTATTTACCCACTCTACTCTGCACAAGACAATGTACCAAGTTCTTTGTGTGAACAGATTCATAACCTGCTTATGTGGGTGAAAAAAAGGCAAAGAACTCATTTGTACATTCTAGGCAGCGAACATGCTGAAGATGATCAAGAGGCAAAATAAGCCATTTCTTAAAAGTAAGAGCAAAATTTTAAGGATTTTCTTTGACATGAAAATATCTAATAACTTAATTTGTTAAATCTTCTGCATAGAATGTTGTCTCATATCAAAAAAAAGCCATTAAAAATGTTTTCTAGAGTATGAGGCCCCCTGTCATTCTCACATAACTCATTCATTAGCAGAGGTATTAGAATTTGAGAATCCCAAACAAATGTTATAAAAGGCTCATACCCATCCCAAACCCAATGTCTAGCCTCAAACCCTCTTTGGGTCAAACCCAATTCCTTTCGTAGATTTGTATACCAAAAGAAAAAAATATATTTTTTTATATTTTTTTATTCATTTTTGCCAAAGTGAATGAGTCTATCAATGATTCATGTGTAGAATATTTCTTTCTTAATATAAAGAAAAATAAAGTACATATGGATGCTTAAGCCCTGGAAACAGGTCACCACCAAAACCAAATTATGTTTTGGATTATGTAGAATTTGGTTTTGGTGGTGACCTGATTGTATATATTATATGAATTATAAATATGACATAAATGAATAGAAATAACTTTCGAATTTTTTACAATATACATTGCATATAAAATTGTATAAGTTACGTACCCAGGTGTGTATAAATGGCAATCACACATTTACTTCTTAAGTAACATCTGTTCCACCAACATAGCAAAGATACTGCGACTAAAAGCATTAGATCAATAAATTGAAGGCTGCCGTTAGCTACAATACAACACTTAATCATTAAGACTCAGTTTGGCGCAAGCATGGACAAAAATAAAAATAAAAATCATAAAGGTGTGGGGTGACGGAATTTCCCCTAAGCTTCTGGCACAAGCTTCTGGCACATTCCTGAGTGTCACTTCTATCAGAGGCAAAGGATGAGCTCGTATTTCTCCACCATGAGCCCTCCCCCAAGGCGAGGCTGCGTAGCCCTTGGCCCTTCTGTTCCTCCTCACCGAAACTGCGCTCCAATTCCATAGCTTCACAGCTGAATTTCTGAATATTACAAAATCCCATCAGACCTGATGACAGGTCATTGGAACTAAATTACTATTTTAATTAATCATGTTTTCTGTATGTACTTTCCACTTTGTCCATAATTATCTGTGCCACTCTATAATAATTACTTATTCCTTTGGCTATTTCCAGAGATAACTTTGCTCTTTGAAGAGTAGAGATGTCTTCGTTTTAGGCAGATTTATTTTTAATTGAAGATTCAGAAGGCAACATCCTTTATTCTGTCCAAACTCCTGTCTTCCTTCCTCCTCAAGTACCCTCCCATGGAGCCCAAATCCGCCTGGCCACCTCACCATTATTTCCACCTCTATTAATCATGCCTCAGGACTTGAGATGAAATAGAAGGATTTCATTTTATTCCACGATTTCTGAATCGATGAAGACCAGTTCCCAAAGTCCTGACTTGTGTTTCTGCGGTTAGAAAGTCAAAGAAGGATGGAGAAAATGGGAGGGGAAGATCTGTTTGCTGCTACCTCTTGCAAGACAAGCAATTGCATCTGCAGGAACTTAACGGACTGTTGGGTGCATGACCTTGTGTTAAGTGCTATTTCTCAGCCCCCTCACCTCTCAAAAAAAGAGAAGAAAAGTAAAATCTGTTTCTATCCTCCCCAAATACCAGTACTTTAAACTGGGTTAAAGGCATCACTGATCTGGCTCCTTGGAGCACCTGAGTTCTGCCAGGGGCTGGAGTAGTCTTAGGATGAGCCCAGAGGAGGAGAGAGGGGAGCAAGGAGTACATGAGCTCACCTGGTGGCATGGTCACCTCTGCCCACGCCCTGAGGGCCACCCTGAGTGGGGGCCCTCTCCGCCACAGCCCTCCCTCCTATTCATGGACCCTCCCAGGCAAAGTGCAGCTCTTCTCCAGGTGGCCTCCTGCCCTGCCCCCCAGGGACATCAGCTCCCAGAGGACACCTCCCTTTACGGCCCCTGGGGTAGGAGGGTATACACCACACCCAGTCGTTCTCACCACAGACACCCTCTCCTTCCCACCTCCTGCTCTTTCTCCTCCCTCCCCTGCACCATGACCAGGGCTACCCCGCCCCGCGGGGCTGTACCTTCTTTCTAGGCAGCCCCTCTGGAGAATCTGGGGGTCCCTGGGTTCTGGGTCACTTGGAGCCTTTGGGACTTCAGCAGAGGCTCAGAGAGCCCTGTGTTTCCTATCCTGTTATATTTACTCTTAAGAAAGTGTTCTTTTCCTGAAGTCACCGGCCACCATTGGTTACTGTAACGTGTCAGAGTGATCTTTGAGTCACTTGCTTGGCACCTCCCTTTTATTGTCTTGTACAGTTAGGAGCTTTTCCAACTGAGGTCACTACACTTAGTGAAAAGCACACTGCATTTGAGCAGAGGCAACCTGCGTTTCCCCCTGGCTCAGAAGGCTGCTGTCTGAGCAGGAGTCCACTCTTGAATGGCCTCGTCTGCAAAATGGGTAAAGCGCCACCCTCCTCAGGTTCTGGTGAGAACCAAGGAACATGACAGGACGTGTGGCACAGCATCCTGGACAAGGTAAGAGCCTGCACAGTCTTATCTCACTGACTTATCCTGGTTGCCAAGCCAGGTTAAGTACTCTGATCACCATTTTAAAATAATAAAGCTGAGGCACCAGTGAATTAAGGAATTTTCCAAGATCTACACCTGGATCCATCTCGTTCAAGAGCGGAGTTTTTGCCCCCTATATTTACACTCAAGCAAAGGCTGGAGAAATGATGGAAAAACCCAGGAGCCGCCTCCGGGTCTGTTCTTGAATATCATGGTTCCAAGGACGGTGCATCTTGAAAACAGTGAGGACAGCCCTCTCTCCCTTTGTCCCCCAGCCGTGGCGCTGGCCTTCAGGAAGACACAGACCTGCTCCCGCTCCCAAGGTCTCTCCACTACGTTCCTCCGTAAATCGGTAAAACGTGTGACATTGCCTTATCATCAACCATTCAGAGGCATGACACACAGCTGCATGTGCATAAGCCCCTTACAACGAGATGTTTCCTTTTTCATTATTTCATTCATCCCTTAGAGGTTACAGGCCCTCGTTGACTAAGTTGCAGGCAGGAATCCTTTTTTAAAATAAAGAGACTGAGGAAACGAGCAGTAAAGTGTTTGCAGACCCACCACCACACACACTGGAAGCTGCTCTGCGGTTCTCCTGCAAGGAAGCTTCTGGGTGAAATCCCCCCACCCAGGGAAAATCACTAGCACGGATACCATGGGAATCATCGGTTGTCCTTCTTTAGGATAAGACAGAAATTATTCCACTTATGTGGCTTGGGACAGTTCTTCTGAAACATAATCATCACAGATTCACATATATAACATTAGCTAATAATTATAACTACAATAATACTGATGAACATTAACTAACATTGGGGCACCTGGGTGGCTCAGTCGGTGAAGTGTCTGCCTTTGGTTCAGGTCATGATCCCAGGATCCTGGGATTGAGCCCCATGTCGGGCTCCCTGCTCAGTGAGAAGCCTGCTTCTCCCTCTCCCTCTACCTCTCTCCCCTGCTCATGCTCTCTTGTCTCTCTCTCTCAATAAAATCTTTTTAAAATATATTTTAAACATTAACATTAGCCAAAAATTACAATACCTAATACTTAAAACAACTATAATATTAAGTAGCCATATGTAATAATTACGAAGTTCACTAATAACTATAATATGTATTGAGCACTGAGCCCTGGACACCATGCAAGGCGCTCGGGGCTTATTTCCTAAATCCTCTTGGCGATATCATGAGACGAATACTATTCTTATCCTCATTTTACAGATAAGGAAATTGAGGCTTAGCAAGGTGAAATAACTTTCCCAAGGTCAAACAGTTCCAAGTGACAACAAAACATTTGCTTGGGGAACCACAGTTAATGTGGTTTTTCCAGGATCCTGGAGTGAACAGTGTCCCTCCAGACCCTCCGAGGCTAACTCAATCATACGCCCAAACTTCAAGAATGTAAGACATCAAATAATCCTAAGAACTTCACAAGTTTGTTCACCATCTCTGGAAGGATGCATAGGGCACTCACACCTGGCCTACAGAACACGTGGAAGATTGGTCAGTGGTAAAAGTTTCCGTCAATGAGTGTCAACAGCATATTGAAAGGTCACTAAAGCCATTTTCTTCAATAAAAATCATATTTAATCTAGTAACCCAAAAATGTGCTCTTTACGGGTCAACTAAAAGTTTCTGAGGTTATTGACAGCCACAAAAGATTTTGCGGTTTTACATCTGGAATTTTCCCTCCTCTGTTTCTGTTAAAAGATGTTCCACAGATACTAAGCCATTGCTGATGGGTTGTGCTCAGAGGGACAACCAGCCTCTTCTCTCTTGTTCCCTCCTTACCCTCTGGAAACTGCGCGAACTTTCAGGGCTGTGGGTGGGGGCATTCAAGAGCCAGCATTGGGGCTGCTTCCAGCCAGCTGCTGGCCGAGGGTATCATCCCTGGCTGAGTGAAATCCAAGCTACAGGATGGCCCAGGAACTAGATATAAAAGGAAACAGCCCCCTTGCTGGTGTCCAGCCCTCAGGACTGATGAAACGGCTTCCTCCTACAGCCCCCTAAAGGCTCAAATGCTCCCAGAAATGTCAGTCTCCGACAGACACCGCAGGTTCAAGCCTAAAATCAAAGCCTGAATCACTGCCAAGGAGAAGTGGCTCCTTCAGTTACCCTTGTTTCTTCAGGCAGGTCTATCCTGCACAGAATGAAGGCAGAAACTGGAGGGGAGATTCTGAGCCTGGTCCCAGGGAAATCAGACGCAGTGTTATGGGGTCTGCACCTCGTACCTATTTTTGGCCTGTTTGAATTCCTAGAGCATTTAAAACTGTGGCCTTAGAGATGTTTGCTCTTGTCACTGTGACATCATTTTCCCCAAATAATACTATTACACATGCTAACTTTACACTTTTGGTATAGTTACATCACACACACAAGTACAATTGACCCTTGAACAACACAACTTTTAAACTGCACGGGTCCACCTATATGCAGATTTTTTTTCTGTAACTACAGAAAGTATTGAAAATGTATTTTCTCTTTCTTATGGTTTTCTTAATAACATTTTCTTTTCTCTAGCTTACTTATTGCAAGAATACAGCTTATATTACATATAACATACAAAATGTGTGTTAATCAACTGTTTAAGTTGTCAGTAAGGCTTCTGGTCAACCGTAGGTCATTAATGAAGTTTTGGGGAGTCAAAAGTTACACATGGATTTTCAACTGTGCTGGTGTGAGTGCCCCTAACCACCACCACCACCACCACCACCACCCACGCATTGTTCAAGGATCAACTGTAACCACACCCAGCAGTCATTTTGGTAGTTTCATCACACCCTCCAAATATGGTTACACAAAGTGTCATTTATTTGCAACTTTAAGTTAGTCTAAGTCTTACAGAATGATTGGCAGAAACACTCCACCAAAAAAAAAAAGCCTCTAATTCTATAATATATGCGAACACAACGTGACACAAATCACATGTTAAAAATTCTAGTATCAAACACGCCCCCTTCCTGGAATCCCTTTCACACCCAGCTAGCCAGGATCACTCATTTTCCACACTTCTTCAACGCGGTTAAAGCAAACGCAGAAAGCAAAGGCACGCAGGCTTACTGCGGAGCCACGGCTGACTTACACACTCCTCACACAACAAACTTCAGGCCAACGCTGGGCCAGACCCGCTTCTTCCACTTCCCGGCCTGAGTTCCTCAGAAAATCCGACAGGAAGAAAGGCCCCCCACCCATTCCAGCAGACACCTACCGCTATGGACCCAGAAGATGTGGCAACAAACACTTTGATAACCATTTTGGCAGTCGGAAAGAGGGGTCCCCCCAACACACCCCCGCGAGGGAACGCGGCGCTAGACGGATCCCGACCGCGGCCCGCGCCGGGCAGGTAGCAGGTGCCAGGTAGCAGCAGGTGCAGGTGCCAGGTGCGAGCTGGCAGCCGCCCAGCGCGGTCTGAGCCCCTGCGCCTCCCGCCGCAACTTAAGCCCGGCGCCTGCCGGTAGCGGCGCGGACGGCGCGGGCTTCCCCCGCCATTGGCCGGGCGCGGGAGGGGGATCGGCCGGGCGACGACCGGATTGGTCGATAAAAGCAGCCACTGACTTGAAACGCCCGACAACAGCCCCTAAAAGGCCAGGCTGCGCCGCGCACCAATCAGGCAGCCGCGCACGCACAGGCCCTTGCGGGGGGGGGGGGGCAGCCGAGCGCCCGGGCGCGGCTGGAAAAGCCCAGAAGACGCCAGCTCCGTCCTCGAGGGCGCCGTGTCTGCGAGGCTTTCGGCAAACGCCCCGCGGGGGTCCGAACGGCCACACAGGCCTTGGAATAAGCAAAGGCATCCTGACCTGCACGTTTTCCGGCCGGTTAAAAGTTCCGTGAACTCGAAATATACCAGAGATGCCTTTGGGCGTGGCCCGCTTCCAGGTTTCTCCCTTTCCCACCTGTTGCTCCTAAAGAACAGAAGCTGACAGGCGGCAGACGTGTAAGGTTTCACTGACATCCCAGACAAGGCAGGGCGGCAGCGGCGGGCTGTCAGCAGGGATGAGTTCAACAAGCGAAATGTCTTCACTATCTCAGAGACGCGGGGAGAAAATAAATGTTTGTCCCAGTCTCTCTCCGTCTTCTTTATGTGGATACTTAAATCGCGTAAAAAGCCCAAACGCTACCTCCCAATTTTTCTGATGGGTTTCAAGATCAAGCTCAAGGACATAGGAGGCACCAGGGGGTTATTCTCTTAGATAACCGAGTCTCTCTCTTTCTTTCTATTTTTCAGTCCCCGGCTACTCCCGGAGGAGGTGGTTACTGGCATGCTGGGGCAGGGAGGGGTCTGGAGGCCTTCTTTACCTGCCTTCTTCACCAGAGTCCCAGGGGCCTGGAGGCCTGCTCCCCTCCCCCAGGACAGGCGCCTTTAACGAGAAGGGACGCCCCATCCCTGCAACATAGCTCAAATTCATTTACATCACAAACAATGATTGAGATGACTGCCGTTTAACTTAGAACCTCACTATGCAAAGTTTGCTCCCCAAATTAGGCCCTTGGTGAAGATGATTGATGGCTCCCCAAATTTAAGTCATTAGCATTGTAAATTTTTTCAAGCCCACCAAAGATTATAGGTCGTTTGTGCTCCTTTCCCGTATTTTCAAAATCATAAAGTAAGTATATGCTATTTTTGTGAAAGTATTTTTTTCAACACCTTAGTGTCAAATTCTACCACATGAGCAAGCCATTTTTCTCCAAATATGATTGAAGAGAGTAATAAACTATGCATATTTCTCAATGATTTTGTAAATTAGTAACGTAAACTGTAGTTGACCCTCATGTGCCCTAGAGAATATACGACTGCTGATCATATGGGGCAACACTGCCTTGGACAATGACATACCACCTCCGTCCACATGCCCTCGGGAGAAAGAATAGCCTACTTGAAGCAAGAACTAACAATTTTTAAGTGTGTGCCACATGCCAGATCTGCTCTAAGTGCTTTGCATAAACCGCTCCCTTAATGTGCACAACACTAACACTGGGTTCTACTCCTATCCCTCCTCAAGGGTGAGGACAGGAAATGGTGCATCCAAGCAAGACACAAACCCAATCCTTCTATCGCCACACCACACCAGAAAAACTCCTGACACACCACGCTCAAATTCCTAGTGCACCGTCTTTACACTATGAATTATTTTTAGAAGCTTATCCTTTTAATAATGACCGTGAAAATGTACAAATTAGAACTCTGAAAACTCTAGCTGAAAGATCTTTACATCTATGACACTGACTCCAATAAACTTCAGGATAATTAATGCCAATACGAAACATTCCAAGTGAGTCTTAAAATAAAGCTCAACTAATCTCTGCCTTAGAAAATTCACTACAGGGACGCCTAGGTGGCTCAGTCGGTTAAGCATCTGCCTTCAGCTCAGGACATGATCCCAGGGTCCTGAGATAGAGTCCGGCATCCGGGTCCTTGCTCAGCAGGGAGCCTGCTTCTCCATCTGCCTCTGCTGCTCCCCCTGCTTGTGCTCTCTCTCTCTCTCTCTGGCAAATAAATAAAATCTTAAAAAAAAAAAAAGAACAAAAGAAAGAAAATTCACTTCAAAAATAAGCTGTGTGCTCCACTGAAGAGGCAGAATGCTTATCATTTCACATCCCTAGTCCTTGATGCTAAGTGAAAGAACAATACTTATTTTGTTACAGAATTTTTTTCAGCTTTATTGAGGTACAATTAACAGTTAAAATCCTAAGATAGCTAAAGTGCACATCGTGGTGACTTGAGGAACAAACACACTATGAAAGAAAGATTTCATCTAATTTTAATGATAAAAGTGTGAGGTATTGACTCCAAACTTGGCAGAGATCCTCAGATGATCTTATAATAAATGATACCAGATGCTATGTTTTGGTGTACGTAATGTGATATGTGTATGAGAAATGAGAAATTTGGGAAATAAAGGCATATTTGTACTACGTGGAATGACAGTGGTGACCACCAGAGTAACAGCAGTGACTTGAATAATGTCCCCCCTCAAAATTCATGTCCACCCTAAACTTCAGAATGTGAACCTTATTTGGGAACAGGATCTTTGTAGGTGAAATTGGTTGAGATTCTGAAAAGAAATCATCCTGGACTTCGGGTGGGCCCTCAGCCCAATAACAGATGTCCTTACAAGAAGAGGAGGCACAGACAGAGACAAAAAAACACCGTGTGAAGACAGGGCTGCAGAGACAGGACTGATGCTGCCATGAGCCAAGGAGCATGGGGAGCCAGAGAGGCAAGGAAGGATTTTTCCCAGGAGCTCTCAGAGGAAGCTTGGCCCTGCCAACACCTCGATTTCAGACTTCTTGCCTCCAGAACTGTAAGAGAGTAAATTTCTGTTTTTTTTTTAAAGATTTTTATTTATTTATTGAGAGAGAGAATGGTAGAGAGAGAGCATGAGATGGAGGAAGGTCAGAGGGAGAAGCAGACTCCCTGCTGAGCAGGGAGCCCGATGCGGGACTCGATCCCGGGACCCCAGGATCATGACCTGAGCCGAAGGCAGTCGCTTAACCAACTGAGCCACCCAGGCACCCTAAATTTCTGTTGTTTTAAGCCACTGGGTCTGTGGTGATTTGTTACAGTGGACTTAATTAAACTAATACAGAGAAATAAAGGCATATGTTACTATGTAGCAGAATTCCTAAAGGTATTTCTTCAGCTTTGTACTCACCAGGTCTCTCCCCTTCCATAAGGCACACGGATACCTATGGAAAACAAACACCCTCTTTCAAAGGCAGAAACAAAGGCTGACTGAGAACAGCTAGCAAAGAAGAAGAGAGACCATTCGGATGGGAAAGGAAGCTCTGAGGGACTTCCATCTTTCAGGATCCTCCAGTCCTGAGTACCAGGGTTGGGATGTTCACTTAATAATAAACTGCCACTTTCGTTACTGTGCTGGGGACACCATCAGCCATTAAGCAGGCATCTTTCCATGAATGTCAAGTCTAGGGTGTCACCTGTCTGCTGTATGTCCTCCAAGAGATGCTGCCCAGCTCACCAGCAACAAAGAGCGCCACCACCCACCTTGTAGGGATAACTCACGACCTAAGGTTGTTGAAACACAGCCCACCAAAATTAAGAGTGGGCGCTCTTGGGGTGGTGACGTGAAAGGGAAGCCTTGCCCCTTCCTCACCCCTTAAAAAACTAGATCTAAACAGAGTCAGTTTGGAAACGCCCACTACCGCTACTACATAAAATCCAAATCAAAAACCACAGATGGAAAATGGGATCAATTTGACTCTACACAAATATCAAAATACACTGCAAACAAAATTTAAAAGTATTTGACAAACTGGGGGAAATATTTACAACATCTACCGCAGACCAAGTTTTCATATAGCCAGACCTGAGTTTCACAGAACAGAGAAAGTTCTACAAAGATGGGCACCGAGTGAAAAATGGGCAAGAGGCAGGAAAAAAGCAAATCGAAAAGTACAAATGATTACTAAGAATATGAAAAAAATATCTACCCTTCTGAGCAAAGACATGAATAGAATCAAAGTATCAACTTTTAACAATAAAATGGGCAAATATTTTTTAAAGAAATTAAAAAGATTATCCTCAGTGTGGGTTAAGGATTGGGAGACATTTGCCTAGAAGGCAAACTTTCATCTACCTTCAGAAAGCCTCAAAGTGGGCATTTCCTTTGATCCTTCGATTTCACATGTAGGATTTATTCTAAGGAGTCAGGGGTGACCTCTGTTAACCTTAAACATAAAATTGTCAGTTATTTTTGCCAGTAAATGGGTTTAGTCGGGAGTAACAAAGAATTGGAACGTGGGGCATGTCAACTATGGCAAAACCTTAGGCAGGTCCAACAAACAAAGGAGAGGAACATGATTTTATGGAGAAGGAAAAAGTTGGGAGGAATTCAAAAGTCCATCTGGGAAATCAAGAGTTCAGGGTGATGACTTTCTCCTTGACTGAGTTACAGGGGGTGGCCGCTTTCTTGAAGGAGATGCAAAGCACATCTTTCCCTCTTGGGCCCATAATTGATAATTCTTTCCTGTTGACGCTCTTCTGTTGGGGAGTCTGTAACTGACACTTCTGTTGGAGCCCGTAATTGAGTTGAATGGTAAGGGCTCCCCCTTCTAGCCTCAAACCTACTTTAGCGATGTTTCCCTTTATTAATTTTCACACGTCAAAGACTCACTTATAGGGATATTCAACATGGCATCAATACAATGGGGGAGGGGAAGGCGGGGAGGAAGAGAAGTAATATGAATGTTGCTTGATTCTGCCTATGCAGTCATTGAAAATTCCTAGGTAATCATTAAAAATCACCCGCAATTCCATCATCTAGGTAATTTTTAATTTTTCTTTGTACTTTGCTGTACATTCTAAATTCTCTACCACCAACATGCATTGCTTTGGGATCAGATTTTCTTTCACCAAAGAAATTCATCTTTATAAAGAGAGGTCAACGGGGGTGCTCTGCTCTCGATCCACTTGTTCACCGAGCAGAGACGAGTCTGCACCTGCCCGGCTGGGCCCAGCCCCTTCCCGGGGAACCGGGCATCTACACCTGCCTTCCTGGATCCACTCCTTTCCCTACCTGCCTAGCAGCCAACCTGGAGCGCCTTGCTCTGGGTCGGTGCGCCTCCCGGCAGGGAACCGGCCATGCGCACTGGACTCGGGATTCAAAAACACCAGTACAGGGGCGAGTGCGACCGAGAGCGTGAAGGGACAGCTGCACTGCCGCGGGACCCGTTCGTTCGCTCGAGACGCGGCCAGGCGGATGGTGGGAGCCCCGAGCGCGCAGGCGAGCCGGCGGGAGGTTACCGGGCCGAAGTGCCCACGCTCAGCTCACCAGCGCGCAAGCGCGCGGACCTAGCGGCCCCGCTGCCCGGCTCAGCCAGTCCCAGGAGGCGCCGCGCGGGATCCCGGAGGCTGCGGGCTTGGCGCTGCGGCGGCGGCCGCGCGGAGCAGGTAACGGCCCGGCCCGGCCCCAGCCAGAGCCTCCTCCTCAAGCCTCCGGGCCTTCCGGTGCCGCCACTCAGCCCCGGCCCCTGCCCAGCTCGGGGGGCCGCGCCGCCTCGCTCTCGGTGGAGCTGGTAACGTAGCCGGGCCGCCGGCCGCCTCCTCCCGCAGAGCGTGGCCTCGCAGCCCGGACGGGGGCCCACGCCCTCGCCCGCCCTCGCCGCGCCGCCGGGGCCCCTCCTCACGCGGCCTGGCCGCCGGGGCGTTCGGGCAGGGGCGGCCCCGACCGGCCCCGGGGACCCGCGGCCGCCCGGCGCCGCCGTCAGCCCCGCCCCCCGCCCGCGGGCTTTGGCCAGTGCTTTGTTCCGGTGTGCGTCTGATGCCTTCAGGTTCGCGCCGGCCCACCCGCGTTAGCTTTGTTTCGCTTTTTCCTTGTGACTTTAGTGCTGACGTTTCCTTATCGCCAGCCCGTGGAAATGTGAGTTCTTTGAAATTTCTGCCCTGTGTTCCTCGCTCGCTCAGCCTTGGAGCGCTTTGTCCGCAGTTTCCCCCTCGCGCCACAGGTGACTTTCTTTAAGATGGGTGTTCCTCTGCTGAGCAAGACCGTGAACCTTTTTTTTTTTTTTCCTATCTACACTCGCTCCCTCGATAAATTCATCCAGCCTCATAGGCTCGTGACCCTTCTAAATGCCAACGAGCCCCAAAAGTGTGTCTCCAGCCCTGCCCCTGCCCCAGAACTTCAGACCTGCGTGCTCACCACGGCTCCGCCCCCATCCACACTTGGATGTCCAGGGGAAGCCCTGGCATTCCCTCCAACCTGCTCTTGCCACACCTTTACCCACCCCATTACTGGAAGCCATTCGCGCGGTGGTCCGGGCCTTGAGGTCCTCCTTGCTCCTGTTTTCCTCCCTCCCCACAATCAGTCCGTCAACACGTCCTTCGTATCATGCCCTGAAGAGAGGCACAGTCCCACCGTTTCTGCCAACCCCCACGATTGCCACCCCTGTCCAGGCCACCATCATCTCCTGCCTGCCAATTGGAATGTGGACAGTCTTACTCTGTGTTCCCATTCTCTGTCATTTCAAGTGAGTCAAGGTTTTCTTTTAAGGATATGAGTTTCATAGATTACGTAGATAAAGATAATTTTTCGTACGTATTTTGAAGATTGCAGCTTTTAAACAGGTAGCCAAAGCTGCATAAACACTGTAGTGTTAACAAGCTAAAAATGGAAAGATGCCCCTTAGCTTTCTTGGGTATATGACTGTGTCCCTGGATAGAACTTTGACAAGACCTTTAAAACCGTACAGAAGAGTAAAAGAATCCAGAGCCTCCTTCCAAGTGAGAAAAAGAAGACGCGGAGGAACTCAGGTTCTGTTTATTCCCCACTCTTTGGTTTTGGTTTTTTAGAGACGCACCAAAAGAGGCAGACTGAAATGGAGACCAGTGATCATCCCAGTGTTGGTCAGTTTGACAGTGAGTGCCTGGGCGCTGATGCTCTAGTCAGTCAGTCCCAGAGTGATGCAGGGATTGACAGGGACAGGTCCTTGCCCTCAGGGAGCTAATGGCCCCGACACACCTGTACCCTGCCAATCGCAAACCCCCCAGCTCCCATTTTTTCTCTTTTTCCTCAAGTGAGACCCCAATTAACAAAAGTAGCATGGTAGGATCACTGCAACTTGCAGAGGGGGCCATAGGATACTGCACATCATAAACCTCCCCTTTTACTCAGATTTGATCTCACACCTTCCCCTCGTGCAGTCACTTCCTAGAGGAACGAAAGCTGTCTGCCGGGTGTCTCCAAGCCCCCGCTACCACAACTACAGCCTTACCTACAGCCGTCCCCAGCTATCCCTCCCATCCAAGGCCCCCCCCGCCCCGGTGCTTTGGATAGCATCCCTACCCGCTTGTCAAAAACCTTATGACTTCCCTATCAGCTGTCACCTGTTCCATCTCAACTGGCTCTTTCCCTTTGGCTTTTAAACATGGTCCATTGTCCCGTCACAAAAGGAAGAAAAAAAAATCTCTCTTGACCCCCTGTTCCCCTTCATTTTCCAGCTATTGCTCAATCTCTCATTCCCTTTGACCGGCAAACTTTTTAAAGAATTGCTGTCTTCCGTGCATCCATTTCTTGTGTCTCATCCCTTAGCCCACTCTAGACTGCCTTCCACCCTCATCTCTATACTGAAACAAAAACCACTGATCAGACATTTCCAGGCCTCATCTTGCTCAGTCTCTTGGCAGCATTTAAATTTGGCACTGCTGCTCCCATCTCTTGAAACGCTGTCTTCCCTTGGCTTCTGTGCCCCCCTCCACCCAGCCGCTTTCTGCTTTTCCTGCTACCATGCTGCCTCCCTCTCCTTCTCTGGGCCCCTTAATATGGCAGTGTCTCAAAGCTCAGTCGGTTCTCATCACATTCTCTCCCCATGCTGCCTGTATCCGGACGTTAGGCACAAACCCATGCTCACCATCTTTATGCTCTGGACTCCCAACTTTATCTTTCCAGCTTGACCCTCTTTTCTGAGCTGACCCACATGTCCAGCTAGCGGGGTGGCCTTGCCTCTTAATACCTCTCAGACACCAACACCGTGTGCAGAAGACCAGTCTCCCGCCAGCCCTCCCAGCTGGGACCTCCTCCATCGGCAGCTGGGACTCCTCCCTGACCTTTCCCCTCACCCCGGCATCCGGTGGGTCACTGAGCACTGCCTCCTGTGCACCTCAGTCCGAGCTGCCCTCTTCTGCCGGCAGCCTTCTGAAATCCTCTCCTCTGGCTTTTCTCTTTTCTGTTTTCCACACTGCAGTCCAAGTAACCTTCAGGAAGCAGAGCAAATTATGTTCTCTCTTCCGCAGCCTCCCCCTTTTGCTCACTGCTAGCTCCCCGTTGCTCTTGGATTAATGACCCAAATCATAAACCTGCCCTCCAGCTGCTCACCCCCACCTACCTCTGGGGACTCATCGGGAACCCCTGGGACCCAGCCACATGGGCCCATCTACCCACCAGGCCTTGGAGCTGTCCTCTCTCCATCCACAATGGACTCCCTTCTTACCCTCCACTCCTTTTTGGGTGGTTAGTTCCCACTGACCTGTCATATCTCCGCTCAGATGGCCCTTCCATAGAACTTCCAAGGTCACCGTCTAGATCAGGTTTCTTTGTCATATATCTTCGCAGAACTGTATCTCTTTCCTCTAAAACACTTAGAACAGTCACCATTGTGATTATTTTATTACCATCATATAAGCTCCATGAAAAGAGAGGCGTTCGTTTGTGTTCGTGACACCCCCCCGTACCGCATACTGTTCTGGCGCGTAGAAAGCTCTCAGATACGTGTTGAAGGAATGAAGGAAATGAACATTTTAATGTGGAAGATGAATCAAGGTGGGGTATTTTAGTACAACTTATTAGAATAGAATAAAATTCTAGTAAATATCAGGTCAACAGTGGAAATTAAAAAGAAATGTGACAATGGCCACGAGAGGGAGGTGAAAATGCACACTTTCAGAAATTTAGCCCTTAACTCATTCAATTTTTGTTAGGTTCACGTGGTACATTGCACTTGCCACCACTTGGTGGAAGTAGAGAGACAGAGTTCCTCCTCCTTTTCTCATCCTGAAGGCGCTTCTTTGGAATATTCAGTCTGGTAAGGAATTCAGGGTTTTTGTTAAAAATAAATAAAATATATCAAGGTGTTAAATGACCAAACCTATATCACTTGTCTATAACCATCCAAACACTGAACATGGCACATTTTCATATTATCAAATAAAGCTTGAACTTTGATATGTGTATAGATAGGTATATTTAATTCATGGATTTTCGTGCGGGACTGGCCCTTAGGAGTTACTGAGCACAATTAGCTAACTTCAGGCGTTGAAGAGTTGAGGTCAAACAGCTGGCCATCCCGGCAGAGCTGGCACGAGAACTCACATGGCTGGCCACGCGTGCCTTCTTTTCTTCTTCTATAGCAGACTCCCTTTCTCCTTAAGCAGTGTTGATTCTTGAACTTCCCTTCTTCAATATGAGAATGACCAAAGTTCTGAAACAAAAAATTGGGACACATAATCTTAAAGGTGGGTGCGATGTTTGAAATAGTGTTTTTGAAAGCCTTTAAGATAGGTGATCATCTTACTGATAGGATACTATTTTTATAAGCTAAACGAAGAGCTTTGCTATTCATTTAATATTCTGCTTAATTTTGTGTCAAAGTGTCTGTGTTAAAGAGTTTTGTTAAAGAGTTCGGGCCTTCCTTTGTTCTGCAGGAAGACCCTCACCCTGCATCCGGCTGCTGCTTTCTCATGACCTGACTGTGGCCATGTTCCTGGGAGGAAGAGCCCTGAAATGACCCTGTGTCCTCCTCAGGCAGGGGGAGGCACGTGCGGTCTACCCGTCCCATCGTGGGGGATGTGAACCTTGATGACCTGGTCAGGGTGGTATCTGCCAGTTTTCTCTACAAGGTCACCATCTTTCCCTTTCTTTTTGATTAGTAGGATGCCGAATTCTGTTCCTTACCAGTCTGACATGTACTGGCCTTTAGCATCCATTGACAACTCCTGCCTGTCTCGACTACCTCTGTGATAGTTGTCAAACTGCCATCCTCTCTTCTCACCGCTCCTTGTTCGCGTATTAGTTGTCAGCCTACCGTAAGGAAGAGCCTTCTCTTCTTTCCTCATCCATTTGGTTATTCATTATGTCAGGATGGACTCACGG